ATATGACAGAGTGTTTGTTTTAACGTTCTTCAGGCGTTGTTTTCGTTGAAGACATTTGTCACCCTAGACTGGCCTGTCTAGCTGTAGCGAACATCGAAGGTGCGGGGTGTCAACCCCGTATAGATCTATACACAAATTCTAGCTCTCCCTCCAGGAGACTCTGGTTATAACTCTTACAGAACTTTAAACGTACGCTATTATATAGGTACGGTGAAGATGCGTCTGACTAGAATACTAACAGGTATTTACGCAAATAGTTGAAATCCGTTATTTATTTAATAAATAACAATAGTTGTACTCGTTGACTAGATGTTTCGTTTCGTTTCATACCCTTAGTTGTGCTCGTTGACTAGGTGTTTTGTTTCGTTTTGTTTATTGAAATAATTCACTTTGAATCATATTTGTCAAAACTGGCTCAATATTGCCAATGTGTCAAAAGTGGCCCTTCCTTTTTATAATTTATTAAATAAGACCCACAATTGTCAAAAAGTGTCATGAGTGATCCAAAAATACGAGGGTTGTTGAAAATAGCCCATTTCTTCTAAAATACTCATTTTGGCTCATATTTAAGAAAAATGTCCAAAATGACCCTTATTTATTAGATATTTCCATTTTGGCCCAATTTAAAAGCGAAATCTCAAATTTAGCCAATATTGCAAAGACAAAATTGCAAAAATGGTCCTTGTGGTATGCAAATTTTTGGGGTTTTAGTCCAAACCCCGAGTTTTTTGGATTCATGGTCCTTTTGAGCTAGTTTATTTGCAATTTTGGTCCCCGTTCAAACTAAAATGACTATTATACCCTTAATGAATTTAGTTTTCATTTTTCTTTCAATCTTTAAAATTATTATTATTATTATTAAATATACAACTGGGCCCACATCTCTCTCTCTCTCTCTCTCTCACATCAGATTACCAAAATCAACCCCATATCCCTCATCGTTCTTCGCCTACAGGGGATGATATCTTGTTCACCAATACCATCGTTTTCCACCCCCAACACCTTCAATATGCTGAGAGACCATCACCATAACTTTTCTTGAATTCGTACATTTCAACCATGGCGACAACCTTCTCCAGATCTTGAAGTGCCTTTTCATTCAAAGTTTCAATTTTCTTGATTCTTTATCAACATATATCAATTGAAGTTTTTGGGTATCTCTCCGATCAAGTTGGTTTCATTCATGTAAAAAAATTGAATTTTTTTCAACTGTGTATCTCTACCAGAGTTTTCATGAATTCGACCTTGCTTTATATAAATCAACAGTTTCATCCAACAAATCGTATGGATCCATTGTTTCAGCACCAGGTACAAGCTTTCTCAACTTCACTTCTAGACCCGAATTCTAAAACGGGTTAACATGTTCTCTATTAGGGTTTCTTCTCCTCCTTTTCTGATCTTCCATAAAATCGCATGGCTCTAAGCTCTTCTTGGTCCAACCACAGAAGCCATTGATGTGTAGGCTGCAATCTTTACACGGTGAGACCTTTTTTATGGTTCTGGGTGTGATCAAAAGCTGATCTTTTCATGTTGAGGTTGTTTAAAGCAAGAAGGAATCAATAAGCGAGATGGATCTTGAGAGAGGTACGGTTTTTGGATGTAGGTTGAGGTGCAGACATTCTGAATCGACTTACGAAATTAGGGTTGTTTGGAAATAAGAGAGAGAGAGAGAGAGGTGGGCCCCATAATTATAATTAATAAAACTTTAAATTAAATAGAAAAAATCATAAAAATGTATCATAAGGGCATTTTAGTCTTTTCAATTTTCTGAGGGACCAAAAACACAACGAAACTAGCTCAAAAGGACCATGAATCCAAAAAACTCGGGGTTTGGACTAAAACCCCAAAAATTTGCATACCACAAGGACCATTTTTGCAATTTTGTCTATTTCAAAAATGACCTTATATATATATTTATGGCCGAAAATGGTCCAAAATAATATAAATTTTCATAACTTTACATCTTCCAAAATTTTATGCCAACAACTTTGTTTAAGTAAATTTTGAAGCAATTCCTTGTGGTTCTCTACATAAGGTTTTGTGAATTAGTTCATAGTCTAAATAAACACTAGTTTTTGTTTCAAATCAACAAATAAGATGTGGAATATAGTTCAAACTCTTGAGACTTAACCAAAATCTCGAGTTTTTGGACTATTCATATGGAGTTTCATAACCTTAATTACACACAACATAACATACATGTATAGACAAGTAATTATACCAAGATTTTCACAAGACCTTTGACTTGTATACTCCCCCAAAATAATGAAACTCAAAAATAGGGGTATGAAGCTCACCTTGGTTTGATTTGGTGGATGATGTGGTTAGATGTTGAGAAGTGTTTAAGTCCTAACACTTGAAGAGTTTGACAACTCTTTGAATTTTAATCTTTCCTAGGAACATCATCACATAATATTTGTGTAACCATGATGAAATAAACAAAATAATATGAAGAATCGCTAGCCAAATATGAGTTACTTACAAGAATATGGGGGATGCTTTGAAGAAAATAAGACTTGAAGCTTGAATATGTTTAGGAGCAGCTTTAGAAGTTTACAGAAAGTGAATATGATAAATGAGAAGTAGTTCTTGGTCATAAGGAAGAATGGGGATGATAAAGTGTGCTTGGTGGTCTGGTGGGTATTGCATTGGTATATGGTGGATACTTCGTGGTCTACTGAGGTTTTATTGGAAATAAGTGAGTAATCAAATCCTAGAGTCAACTTCTTTTGTCTTATACATGACATTTGACCGTAAACCCCATGGAAATGAAGTTGTTTACGGCCTAGAAGCCTTTTAGGATTGAGTTCACGCCCAAGATGCTTTCTAGAAGTGTGTTTACGCCCAAGATGCTTTCTAGGGAAGTGTTTATGCTCAAGATGCTTTCTAGGGAAGTGTTTACACACCAAATATGTTTTCCTTTAGAGTTCACGGCCAAATGGAGGTCCACCAAAGGTGGTTCACGGCCAAAAGCTCCCTAGGATGGTGTTCACGACCATTTCTTAGGCTCTAGGGTAGTTCATGACCAAACATGGCTTAATGAAAGGGTTTATGGTCTTAGATGATTTTCTTCAGTGCCTATACGTTTTGGATGATTTATATAAATATGAATATGTTTCTTGTGCTTAGAAAGCTAAAAATGATGGCCTTAAGGTTCAAGCATTCAAGGTTGCAACATAACACAAGTTCTTACATCCATATCCTGTGATTCTTAATCAATTCCATTTGTCTAGTTTTTGCCTTGATAAACTTGTTTACTTTCAAGAGGTTACCTTGTATGTGGTTTCCAAAGTGTACACTTTCATACACATGCACTTATGCCCTATTGGTTTTCAAGATTTTTCAGTGTAATAGGGTTGAAATTTAGACCTTGCTTGATCCAAATATTTTGGGTTGTCACATAATGGGTTGGGATTTGAAATTAGTTTGGGGTTTGGTTTTGGTAAAATGGCATGGGTTGAGATTGGAATTGAGAATAATATGGATGGAGTGGATATATTTGTAGAGCCATAGTAGGATAATAGTAACTAGTTGGTGAATGAATGAGTTGATCAAGTGGAGGTCGATAACAAGTTTGTGATGAAAGGTTTGATGATTGAGGGTTTAGTGATGAAAGGTTTGAATATTTTTTTTTGTTTCTTCTTAGGGTTTTGTTTTGGTTAGGTGAAGACATTGTGCTTGATGAATTGATAACTTTTTTGAAAGAAAGAATAATATTGTGTGTGTGAAATATTGAGATTGTAGTGTTTATATATAGTGGTTGGTTTAAAATTTGAAAAGTTGAACTTTTAGGGTAAAAAAGAGCTAGTTTTTATTTATTTTTTTTTTTTTATAAAAAAGAGTATTTTTTATTTAAAAAATGGTAAAAATGTGTTTGAATTCTGGTCTGGTCAAAAGTCCAAGACCCCAAGCACCAATCAAATCCTACCGCTACCTCTTTCTCTCTCTCTCTCTCTCTCTCTCTCTTTGAGTTTATGGCAATTCGACGGTGGCGAGCTCTTTGTCGCACGACAAGAGGGTGTGTAACGCGCATGGGGCCTTAGAGCATCTATAATGGTAAACCTATATGATAATATGATAGGTAAAAAAATTGTCATCTCACTATTTAATTATATTAATTTCTAATTAAATTGTTTCTCCAATGATTAAACTTTTTTATGATTTTTTTCATTAATTTAATTATTTTATATTTATCTATTTAAAATGTTATATAAAACCCTCTCATTTAACTAACTTTTTTTTAAACACGACTTATTTTAATATAAACATTCAGTCATGTACAAAAATTTACATATTACTATAGTTTATATATATATATATATATATATATATATATATATATATATATATATATTATCTATAAACTTTAGATAAATAATAAATACTTAAAATTAAATCAATAGGATAAAATATAATATTATTAAAAAAAAAAGTTAAAATGTTCAATGTATTAAAAATATATATATATATATATATATATATATATATATATATATATATAAATGTGCAAAAAAATATCTTGAGTTGTTTTGACCACTCAATTAAATAGTAATAATCTATAATTTTTTTTTTACATTGGAGATGGTATTAAAGACCTATGATAAAAAACATTACTATTAAACCAAAAACTATATGAATGGGTAGTCGGTTGATTCAATTTTTTCTTAAACTCTTTGGTATTTTTGTGATTTTCTCTTCTTTAAACATTTTTATAATCATAAATCCTTTGAATTCGATCATTTTCTATAACTCAACTTTTCGTAAAAGAAAGTAAGAAACTTGATACAACTTTGAATACACATGGATAGAGGCAAATCTTTCTCCATGCCAGAGTTGCAAGATGACATCTAAAAAACTGGAAAGCACATGAACTTCCAAAGCCAGCTCACTTTGCTTACATGGGTGGTGACATCATTTATAAATTAGTTTTTCAATATTTGGGCAAAATGATTGACCAATTTTAAATGCAAAACTCATGGATGCCCCTTAAATCTATATTCTATATTCATCAGACCCCCTCCCTCTTCTCTATCTCTCCATCTTCGCATTTCTTGTGCATCAAATCCTCCAAAAAACAAGACATTCTCAACAATCTACTATATAAACTAACCTACTCTCAAGATTTATGCCCTTTTGCTCATCCGACTTCGTAAAGGTTTGAACTTTCTTCTTTTACACATCTGTTGACTTGTATCCTGAGGTGGTGTCTTGCTGAGTTGGTTGACAATTCTTTAATATTTTTACTGTGTTCTTCTTAATTCAGTGGCTATTGAACGATGTTTTGTTGATGGGGTTTGTTTGTTGTTTGTTTTATCATCTGGGGTTGTTTTGATTGTGAAGAAATTCACTGAAGATGCAGTCCCTTAGTATCTTGATGATTCAGAATTCTTTAGCTTTTTCGTGATCCTTTTAAATTTAGTGGCAATTGAGGGAGATTTCAGTGATATGGTTTGTTTATTTTTTGTTTTATCATCTGGGTTTGTCTCAATTATGAAGAAATTCAATGAAGTCTGAGTTCCTTCATACGCAAATCTTAATTGGTCACAAATTTTTAGTCTTTTTACGTGTTCTTTTGAATTCAGTGGCAATTAAAGGAGGTTTCAGTGATGGGTTTTGTTTATTTTAGGTTTTGACATCGTAAATTGTCTCATTTATGAAGAAAAACAATGAAAATTGAGTTCCCTGATACCCAAATCTTGAAAGGGGGAGCATCAATTTAGAACTGCATACTCATTTGATTCATTTTGTGTTGTATCAAAGAATTAAACTTGCTCTATGTCAATCAGAAATTGGGGTTTTGTTTTCTTTGATGTCTTACTATCTTGATTTGTTCCAATTGAGCTAATTACTGTAGAATTGTAGGAATTTTGACTTTTTAGGAATTGTTTTTCAAGAAGACTTGGTTGAATTTGCTTCTAGGCCCTTGCTTCTCGGAAGTTGGAATAAATTATGCTTTTTTTTCCTAGGCCCTTGTTTTCTTTGATATCTTATCATCTTTTTTGATTTTGTGAATAGGGTTGGAACTTGGAAGACTTTGGATTGAATTCAACAGTGATTACAGAATTTTCTTGAATGAACTATGAAACTATCTTTATTGATATATAAACAACATGTGATTCCTCCAATTATGCTTCAGATGACTTTTGACTCGAAGAATTTAGCAACACCCATGTTGTAGTTTCTTGATAAAATGGAGTAAATATGCTCGTATATGAGGATGGAAGTGATCTTGTTGAGTTTTCTACTATTGATCCAAATACCAATCATATTCGCCTCAGGAGTTTTGCCTTTAAAGGGTTGTAACACTTACAATATCCACTATTCAAGTAATTATAATCACAAGTTGTTTTATTTAAATGGAGAATTAGTAAGCAAAGATTCATTTTGCAAATCTCTCAAGTCAAATCATGCAAACGATTGTTTCATCAATACAAATCTTGGAAGCCATTGCCATGAATTCGATCAATCTTCAGGTACATGATGTCAAATGTCTAAAATATCCTTTAGGATCCATCTCATGAAAATTACAACATTTTGATTGGTTGTCGAATGTCTAAAATATCCTTTATCTTGGATTCTTCCCATTAAGGGAAATTCACAACTTTTATTATGCATCTTGAAAAAAGATATTTTTATACTCCCTCCAATGAAAATCACAATTTTGATTATTTGTCAAATGTCAACAACACCCTCTATTACGATAGGATCTTGTAACAACGATGATGGGCAAATACGTAAATTTATCTTGGAATCTTTCATAAAAGGAAAAATTGCAAGTTTGAGATGGAGTAGTAGGTTTTATACATAGTTGTGAATCTTGAACATTTTTGTTGTATTCTTGAGCAGAAGGGAGGAGATTTCTTAAAGATCAAAAGACAACAAAAGATGATAAAAAGAAATCCGAATTTAAAACAAAATATTATATCATGGGCGGATCCGGAATTTTGATTTTGTGTTGCAGTTTTCTTTGCCCTTGCTTTCATACAAGAAAGAAGGATATGGCCCACACTGTTCTTAAGGATCCAAGTTCAAGTAAGTTTTCAATATAAAATTCATCAGTTTCCCTTTTAGCAAAGTTTCAATATAAAATTTTGGTCTAAAAGAATATGTTACCTTCATTGAGGGGCATTTCAGATATTTGATTAGTAGGCTTAACATTTATACATAACTATTTGTCAAATCAAATGTGATTAGTTAAGTTAATTTAATATTTGTTTTGCAGTGGATTCAGTTTCATCTATAGAAATGAATTCGGTTTCTGAAAAGGTTACAGCTAGTCCACTACGGGTCCCACCTAGTCCAGCTAGATTCTCAATGTCTCCAAAACTTGATAGAGTTGGATCAGTTCATTTGACTATGAGTCAAATTGCAAGAGCTACCCAAAATTTCTCTCCATCTTTAAAATTAGGTGAAGGGGGATTTGGAACAGTTTACAAAGCTCAACTACCAGATGGTCAAACGGTTGCCATAAAACGAGCAAAGAAGGTAATATGAACACTCATGTTTGTTGGGGTGTAAGGGTAAAATGGTCATTTACTCATTTTCAGACCAAAAAGGAACACACTTTGTGATACAACACTTTATCAACACAAACATCATTCTCTATTAAGTTGTTCTTTCTGTATTAATGGAGGAGAAATGTATACGCGAATCAATCCTTCAAATTTGTTGTGTTTTCTTTAAAAAAAACCGTTTTTTTTTTTTTTTTTTCATTTTTAAAATGTGAAATCATTGTGTAGGAACAATTTGATGCTCTACGAAGTGAATTTAGAAGTGAGGTTGAACTACTTGCAAAAATAGATCATAGGAATCTTGTGAAGCTTCTTGGGTATGTTGATAAAGGAAATGAGCGCCTTATTATTACAGAATATGTGCCTAATGGTACACTTAGAGAACATTTGGATGGTAATTTTTTTTTCAAATTTACCATTAACACCTTGATTTAGGTCTTCATCTTAGCAACATTAAGTTTAATGGTTCCTCTTTTCAGGTGTTCATGGAAATTTCTTGGACTTTAGTCAACGACTTGAAATCTCCATCGATATTGCTCATGGCTTAACATATCTCCATCTATACGCAGGTAAACCCTAACTCTTATTATACTATTTTTACGTTTTTTGGCTTTTTACATAGTTATCCCAAAATAAATGAAAGTACAACGTTGGTATTTCTTGATGATGAATAGAAAAGCAAATTATACATCGCGATGTGAAGTCATCGAATATTCTTTTAACGGAAAGAATGAGAGGAAAAGTGGCGGATTTTGGATTTGCAAGAGTTGGAGAAGCGGAGACTGATAACACACACGTTGTGACCAAAGTAAGAGGCACAGTTGGATACCTTGACCCTGAATATATGAGAACGTATCAACTCACCCCAAAGAGTGATGTTTACTCTTTTGGCATTCTTCTTATTGAAATTCTTATGGGTCGTCGCCCTATTGAGTCAAGAAGATCACCCGAGGAGAAGGTCACCATAAGATGGGTACGTTTATATTATGTATTTACGTTTACTTCTTCTTTATACATCGTGCATTATCAACTTGTACCTTGTGCAGTTCGTGGTTGTACCATGTTCAAAAGTATGCATTTCTTACCTTTTTAACGTAGGGAAATCTCCAATGAAGTCTCAATATTTTGAGTCAGTTTATGGTTTAATTCTAATTTTTATTTGGGTTTAGGTCATTTTTGGTCACTTAACTTTTGGTTTTTTGCTCATTTGGTCACTTAACTATTTTTAAGTTTTAAAAGGTCATCAAACTTTTGACTTTGTGCTCATTTAGTCACTTAACTTTTAATTTGGTCACATTTAGTTACCTAACTTTTAAATTTGTGTTCATTTAGTCACCTAACTTTTAAAATTGTGCTCATTTAGTCATTAACCTTTTTAAAAAAATTAAAAGTTTAGTGACTAAATGAGCACAAATTTAAAAGTTTGGTGACTAAATGTGACCAAAACAAAAGTTAAGTGACTAAATGAGCACAAAGCCAAAAGTTTGATGACCTTTTAAAACTTAAAAAAAGTTAAGTGACCAAATGAGTACAAAACCAAAAGTTAAGTCACCAAAAATGACCTAAACCCTTTTTATTTTTTAACAGAAAAGTCTCGAATATTTTATATTTTGCCCAAATTAATGATACAGTCCTTATTTTTTTTCAACACAAATGATAGATTATCATATTAAATTAAATAATCAACTCTTTTTATATATATATATATATATATATATATATATTAGGATTAAACCATAAACTGATCCAAAATATTGAGACTTCGACATAATTTCCCTTTTAACTTATTTCTCTCATTGGTAGTTGCACAAAGTTCAAAACCTTTTATTTTAATATGACCGAAGTGGTGTATTAGCTAATAGGTTTCTCACCCTCTAACCTACTTTTTAATATTTGCATTGACGACTTGTACCTTGCTCATTGGTAGTTGTACCATGGGTTCCTCATCATTCAACCCTACTTTCCATCCCTGCATCGTCAACTTGTACCTTGTGCATCAATAGTTGTATGTTGGGCATCGGTACTTTAACCATGTCAACCATGGATACGAGCCAATGGGTTCCTCACCCTTCTACCCCACTTTTCATTCCTCGATTATCAACTTGTACCTTGTGCATAGTTACTTGTACCATGTCTATTAGCAAATAGCCAAACCATGTGGTGAGAGACGATTGGTTCCTGACCCTCTTACCCTACTTCCATCCAGTCATTATCCACTTGTACTTTATGTAATGATGGTTTGTACCTTATGCATCGTTACTTGTACCATGTTTAAAAGCATTGATTGCTGTCTTTTTATTCTACTTTTCGTCCCTATGGACTAGTAACTTGTGCAGTAATAGTTGTACTTTGTATTGTATCTTATTTCAGGCATTTGGGAAGTACAATGAAGGTGAGATTATGGATTTGGTTGACCCACATATGAAAATGAAAGAAGCGGTGGACACTGAAATATTTTCAAAGATGCTCGGTTTAGCTTTTCAATGTGCCGCCCCTACAAGGGCAGATCGGCCGGAGATGAAGGTGGTGGGGGAGCAGTTGTGGGTTATCAGAATGGATTATCTCAGACACGGAAAAAGAGGCTGAATTCTGATATAAACAAGAAGCTTTGAAGCTTTTCTCATTTGTACCCATCACCTTTTTCATGCTTAGATGACTTGTACCATGGTGTAGTGTACAAGCGTCTAATGCGTGGAATGCGGTACAAGTATCTTATGCATGGGATTTACGAGAATGGTTTTGCCGATTCCATTTGAAGATGGTTGAGTTTGGACTTTGTTGGTTGGATTAGTTTTATGTGTATTTGTGCATGAAATACTTGTACCATATGTATATATATAATGTATTGTGAGTTTACTTCATAGTGTTTGTTGTAATTTGGTTACAAAAAAACTACAGAATGAGGAGTATTTGTTATAATTTGTCAAAAACTGTAATACCCTTAATTTCTAGAAAGTGTAATTGTTATTGCACATAAGCTTTATAAATTCAATCAATAATGACATTTAATTTTTTTTTTTAACTATGTAGACTATTTAATTGATTCTCTTGGGTTATTTAGTTGTAAAACATTAATTTAACAAAAATCAGAAAATGTAATAACAGTTTTATTGGACACAAAAATAATGTAATTGCCTTTCGAGCATCGGGGATAAAAAGTTAATGTTGTTGGCAACTTGGCATGATAGAACTTTTTGGATGAAATAATCACTGTTAAAAATGATAATGTATAGAATAACAATGTAGTTTTTGACTTGTTTCACATCACTATTTTTTTTACATGCTTATTCATTGTATTATCAAAATGTGTTACAAGATCATTTTTGGTTAAAACAACTTGATGTTATGTACTCTGTAGTCATCTCATCAACAAAGTATATTCTATAAATGTGTAAGGGATGATTATTGTATTTTATTGGTTAACTAACATACTTTGTAAATAGTTTAATGCTATAGTATCAATCCCAATAGGATATTTTTTATAATTCAATAATTAGATATGTATAGCAAAACTTATGATCATCAACACAAATGGTCGTGTCAATGGGTGGGACAGCTTGGACAATGGCCTAGACTTCCAAATTTCTAGGGCCCCATTTTTATATATCTTGTTATGTTAGTATAGAAAAAAAATTGATATATCGTGTATAGCGGTTGAGCGAAAAAAATGAGAAAAATAATTAGCAGAGAAGACTAAGGTTCGTGCGATTCTTCTGGAACAATCATTGCATTTGGTCTCTCACCACTATCGATTGAAGGACTCTATGAATCGATTCTGGTTTTTTTCACGCAACCTTCTGATTTCCAATTTCAATTTCAATTTATGTTTTATGTTTTTTAGTTTATGTTTTAATATTGCTTAATACATTGATTCTGATAATCTGATTTCATGCATCCTTCAAAAATTTGATCTTATACTTGCGTTAATCTGATTCCAGGCAACCTCACCGATTCTGATTTTTGATTCGCGTTAATCTGAATTCTGATTCGTGTATATTGTAAGAATTCGTTAATGTTCTTCACCTCTTCCGTGTTAGTTTTCTAATAAAAAGTTAATTTATGTACTTTCTTCTTGATTTTCTATAGATAACTTAGAGTTTTAAAATCCTTGTTGCTGGAACCTAGAAAACAATTAAAAAATCGTTATATTTTTTTGATGGAAAACGGTTCAACATCACAAGTTCACAACTAAGTGTTTTTGTTTTCTTTACTTGTTTTTTTTCCTCATTGTTTTAAAAGTTTAAAATAATAACAAGTTGACTAGAAAATATTTATCAGTACTGAGAAAAGGAAAAAAAACAAAAAACCGCATAGCTAATATTGTTACAAAAACGATCTAAGGATCCATTTATAACAATGGTCATTTAAAAAAAATCACCCTCCATTACTATTTTTTTTATATTGTAAAGGCCTATTTATTTTATTTTATTTTATTTTTTTTGTCCAGAGCCGCAAATAGGCTTAGACCGGCCATGTAACAACACAAGGTCTTTCAACTTAAACATATAAGTTTTTGCTATTATCATGTTGGAAAATAACCCATTAGTGTGTCCTTAAGACTATTTGGTAATATTAATTACATGTTCGGTACAATTATATTTTATACCATTATGTTTGTCATAGTGACATATCGGGTCTTTAGACTTTAAATTGTGTAATATGATGGATATGTCACATGTCTATAAATTAAGAGACTAGACTTTAGTGGTTCTATAAGGGAAAATGACTTAAAAGGTAAAGTTTCTAAAATGTTCAAAAAATAACATTATAGTTTTTTTTTATAAAAAAATACCATTGAAGTATATAATTTATACACAGAATACCATTGACAGCTATGGACTATGGTGACTGACCACTTGGGTTGTGGTGACTTGGTAAGGCACGTGAAAGATATGGTGGATAACCTATTGACACATGTTCAAATCCTGACACTACTCATCCCTTGTGGCCATGGAGATTCGCCTGCAGTGACTCCAGGACATGGGGCAAAACCTCATGTTTGCAACGAGAGATTAGTTAGTACGTGAAAGCTGGTCCGAAACCATCATTAGGGAAGTTTCCTTTCTTATGGTGACTGGTTATTGTAGGTAACCTTACCTCAGGTAAAATAATGACATGGCCAAATTTTTTTAGTGATTTGACTAAATAATTCATGCCCCACCTCATACCCTAATAAAACGACTGTATCATTCTCTCTCATGTTTATATCTCCCTTTACTCATCTTTCTACCCAAATGAAGATAATCAAACAAGCGACGATGGTGAAGCATGAATGTATTTTGAGTTACACAAACCCTATTTGCTTGGTAGAAACGAAGGTGAAGGGGATCTGGTAGAGCTTAAATATCATTCAACCACCACCACCGTTGACCAACCAAAATGAGGCCAAAATATCATTCAACTACCACCACCATTGACCAACCGTTGAACAATATTGGACTGGCTGAAGGGTACTGTTCATAAGTTTTTCCACTATTAATGAGTATATATATAGGTATGTTTTCCTCTTTTTTTAAAAACAAAAAATTTGGGTTGAAATTTGAAACGTTACAAATACGATCCAAAGTGGGTAACAAACTTCATAAGAATCCATAAAAGAATCATCAAAATACAACAAAATAAAATTTGTATAAGTGGTTTTCTCCGGCTAATTCATAAAATGTCTATTCTTCTAGTTATTTCAAAAGACATGTCAAGGAGACCAAGTCCTCTAATGTGTCACGACTTGATGGTCATTTATAGTGTTTTTGGTTTGATCATATTTAAACAGTTTTATTTGGGATGTTTTTGGAATTCACGGAATGTTGGTGGTTTCTTTTTAAAATGTTTGAATAAAAGAATTATGTTACAATTTTTGGTAAAAGATGTTAAAATAAAAGAAAATGTTTTAAGGTGAAAATCATGGCGTTAGATATAAACCGATAGTCACTTCAATAACGTTGGATGGACGAATTTAGAGAAAAACATGCTGGAAAAAAAATAAGGAAAATATGATAACAAACAACTTAAAAACAAACGGGCACAACAATAAAAAAAAATAATAATAATGGAGGCTTTATTACCACTTAATGAGGTTTGAAATCTGAATAAATGGGGGAAGATAAAGACATTAGATGCATGGTCTCGATGGTAGGATGAGAAAATAAAGGTAAAATTTACTATTTTTTTAAATCATGTGTATTTATAATTCCATAGTGAAGTTCATGATTCATGTTTATCTTATAGGTAGATAAAGAATTTACCAAATTTAGAGTCACGAATTAAACTTAAGTTTTAATATTATCGTGATGTAAGTAATATATATGGGAAAAGTAAATATAACCTTAAGAGTATATAAGCTTAGGTACCCAAACTCACCATACTACGCTGTTTTGTATCATATATACATTGTAATTGTCCAATGTTATTATAATTCAACTTCTAACTTGATTTACTTCCAAGATTTTTATAAATTTCATATTTATTTTCTTCTTACATAATTTTCATTTCGACTATAATATATATAGCCTAGTAGGTGTTCGACAAAAAAATGTGATGTAAGAGGAAGATAATAGTGAAATTTCGTAAATCTTAAAAGTAAATCAAGTTAGAGGTTGATGATTAAGAACATTATAATGTATATATCAAACAAAACGACGTATTATGGTGGGTTTGGATACCTAACATTATATACCTTTAAAGATATATTCACTTTTTCCAATATATATATATATATATATATATATATATATATATATATATATATATATATTATATTTTTTTAATATCTATCAAACATAAATAAATAATAAATTGTTAAGTATAAAATATTATATGTAAAAATAGTAAATAGTTCCAAATACGTAATGACTTTATTTTTGGTTATTTTAAATATCCAAACATTTTTTTTAAATGACTTATCAACTTATAGTTTTTGTCACTATAAAAGCTAGTAAAATATTTTTGGGATAATGACTTAAAAGGGTAATGTATTTTCCGATTTGTACACATTTGGTCACTGAGTTTTTTTTTCATCTATATTTACCCATTCAACTTGTTAAACTGTACACATTCAGTCCTTATGACCGGTTACTCCAGGTTAGTTGGGAAAGATGACTTAATAGGGTAATATATTTTTCGTTTTGTACACATTTAGTCATTAATATTTTTGTACATATTTAGTCCTTAACTTTTGTTTTTTGTTTCAAAATAAGTCATTTTTTGTACCCATTCAGTACTTATGAATGATTTCTTTAGTTTTTTCTCACGACATCTTACGTGAGACAATCATTGATAAGGTGTTTGGGGTTGTTGATGCTTATGTCTAACTTGATCTCGACTGCTTGGTTGCGTAGGTCTTGTGGTTTGGCTTAGGTCTTGTATTTTGAACATCGTAACTTCTTCATACGATATCAGATTTTAACGATCTTTATATTCACATGTTCATTTTTTGACTCTACTACAACTTTCATTAAGATTACTCCGGTTAAAATCTAATATATTTTTACTTACGATTTTATAAAAAAACATCCATACATGCATTCATAAAAAAACATATGGACAAGGGCAGACGTAGGAATATATAGTAGGTATTGCCGATACATGAAAAATAGGTATAAACAAAAAAAATAAAATTTTTTCCACTGCAAACAAAAAAAAACAGGTGTTGTCGGTGCAACACTGGGACCATGCTAAATCCGCCCCGGCGTATGGATATAAAAATCGTAAGTAAAAAAATATTATTTTTTAATGAGAGTAATCTGAATGAAAGTTGTAGTGGACTAAAATACAAACGCATGAATATAAAGCTCGTTAAAATTCGAGATCCTATGAAGAAGTTATGACGTTCAGACTACATGAACTAAGCAACTAAGTAATCGAGATCACGATAGATATAAGCATCAAAAGCCCCATACACCTCATTAATGAATGTCTCACGTAAGATTTCGTGAGAAAAACCTAAAGAAATCATTCATAAGTACTGAATGAGTACAAAAAAATGACTTATTTTGCAAAAAAAATAAAATAAAAAAATAAAAAAATAAGGACTAAATGTTTACAAAAATATTAAGGACTAAATGTGTAAAAAGTGAGAAATATATTACCCTATTAAGTCATTTTTACCGGGTAACCTGGAGTAGCCGGTCATAAGGACTGAATGTATACAGTTTAACAAGTTGAAGGGGTAAATGTGGACGAAAAAAAACTCAGTGACCAAATATGTACAAATCGAAAAATATATTACCCTTTTAAGTCGTTATCCCAATATTTTTTTTTTAAAAAACTTATTTTTTGTCACCTAAAAGTCTATAAATATTTTTACCATTTTTTTAGTTAAATAAGTAAACCCAAACACCCTCTAAGTAACATTCAAACTTCACATCATTGATTTAACACCCTCTAAGTAACATTCAAACTTCACATCATTGATTTATGTACTTTACATCTATTTTGGCTTTTGTCCCGTAATTTCACAAAATAGCAACACACTTTGGGTTGTCGTATTTCTTGTGTAAACACGCTTTTATCACAACATTCTTATTATAAAGTATTATTTGTGACATATTTAAGTATCGTACTCATAAAAAATAATAACCATGACTAGATTCACCATATTACTTTGTTTACTTCGATTGGTTTTTTCACACTAGGTAATTCTTCATAATACCCCTCAAAATACCCACAATTTTGATTATTATCTAGAAAATATGGGCAACCAATGTTAACGACTACATGACTTTTTATCACTACAAAAATCTAAAAACATAGCTTGAATATCATAAACACATTTACAGAAATATTGATTTATTTGTATTCGTTCGTGAGTTTGGAAGCTTGAGTCATTTGAACGAAATTGTATTTGCATTATTCATGTGAATAAGTGCTCGAGATTGGTTGTCTCAAAGAGGTTCTTATGTAAAATATCTATTTGAAATTTAAAATTTATACTATGTAATCCAAAGTTTGTAGTCTGTATGCGACATCTATTTAAATTCCATACTCTGTAATTCAAAGTTTGTAGTCCGTATGGGAAATGTATGTGTATGTTTGTCAAGTAATATACTTTGTTTTTCTATTTTATTAACTACTTCTATTACCATCAGATGAGACTCGAACCATCGACCTCAAGGAGGGAGGACAATACCTGATATCGTTGGACTAGAAAGCCATTTGATAGTAATATACTTTGTTGAGATAAAAAATTGAAAATTCTCCGTGATACCATTTATGTTGAACATGAAAATTATTTTTGGAAAATATTACACTTAGTTATAATAACAAAAACCCACATATATCATATTTTTCATAAATATCCTTTTATATATTACCAAAATAGAGCAATTTGATGAGTATCCTTAAAAAAGCTTATAACCCTTAAAAAATCATATCTTTAACTCGAAGAAAAAGCCAATCCGCAAACTATGACGTGTCGAAGTTAATAAAAGTCAAGCATTTCCTTGTCGGCAAAACCATCGTGTCCAATTAAGACCTAAATAAAACTTTAAAAAATATTAATTAATACGTAATAACCCACTAATTACTTAATTAAATCAAATGTTTTTTTTAATCAAATTGTAATAACAAATCAAAATGAAGTACACACTTTACACGGTTCTTCTAATTTCCTCGCTGCCCAAAATCTTCGCTTAATTTACAGAACACCAATCGCCACTTTACTCTAGAAACTGTTACCTTTCTTTCTTTCTCTCTCTCACACACACAAACACCAAAACACCCACTAAATAGGAGTTTTCTTTGGATGCTGTTGTTGTTCGTGAACTGTTTGAAATTTGGTGTTTTGTGGCTCTAATTTTTCCAAGTCTTTCAGCAAATCTGTTGAGTTTGTTGCTATCGTTTTCCTGTTCGAAGAATGTCGTTCATTGCGGGACTAATAACCGGACTTGTGGTGGGGATAGCACTGATTGTTCTGTTTGTTCGGTCTGAGAATGCACGATCTATGCGTCGCACTGCACTTGTAAGTTTGAAAACTCCGATTTTCTATGTTTTTGGTTTATTGTGGTCAGAATGATAAATTGGTGCGTGGAATTGAATTGAATTGATTTGACTTGATGCAAGTTGCTTAATTTGTAACTCTCGTATCATAAAAGCTGCATATGTACGTTCATGGATTAGCCTGATTCGATGAGCGCTGTTTTAAAAGCTTTAATTTCGTAGAGGAAGAAACCAAAAGTTATATATTTAGCTTCATCGTAGCTTTCACGCCATAACACACTTGTATCTGCATCTGTCTATGAGTTAGTTCAAAAGGATTTGGATTACACACATCACAAACACTCCAGTCTCCATTATGTGTAATAGTTTGTGTGAATTGTTTGATTTAACAAAACACACAATATGCATCTTCCTTAATGCGTGCCCTAAAACATGATTTGAAGCGAGTGTATGCTCTGAATATTCGTGAATTTATTGAAATTTGGGTTAAATTATGTGTTGAAGGCAACAACGATTGCGGCTTTTGCGAGAATGACAGTTGAAGATTCAAAACAATTGCTTTTTTATTCCAGAATTCTACCCTTCTTGGGTTGTTTTCTCACAGAGACAGAAGTTGAGTGTTACTTTTCTACCCTACATTCTTCCTGCTTATGTACTTTCTCTCCATTTTCTTTCTATCTTCTTCAGGGACTGATTGTTCTGCTTAATCTTTCAGTTGACCTGGCTTAATGCTCATCTTACAAAGATCTGGCCCTATGTTGATGAGGTCAGTTTTAAATTTTAAACCCCTCTATTCACCATCATTATGGTAATATGCTTATCATGTGTTTTTGGATTGTCTTGTAGGCAGCATCTGAGCTTATAAAGGCTAATTTGGAGCCAACTCTTGAACAATATAGACCAATGGTGTTGTCCTCTTTGTCATTTTCCAAGTTTACCCTTGGCACAGTGGCCCCACAGTTTACAGGTTAGGCTAATTGATAGTATTACCATTTGCATTTATCCTTTCATAGTAAGAAGATTCCACATATTCTTGAATCTTAATTATCAATTGTTTATATTGTTTAGGAGTTTCTATTGTTGAAGATGGAGGTGAAGGAATAACTATGGAGTTGGAAATGAATTGGGATGGAAACCCTAGTATAATACTTGATATCAAGACCAGACTCGGTGTTGGGTTGCCTGTGCAGGTAATTCAATTTGCCTAGCTGTCAAGGGTTATTATTGGAATTTGGAAAATAATTGGCTTCATCTTTGTTTACTATTAACAAACCATATTCTTAAATCTTAATCTCTTTTATTGTACAGGTGAAGAATATTGCATTCACTGGGGTTTTTAGGTTGATTTTTAAGCCTCTAGTTCCCGAATTTCCCTGTTTTGGAGCTGTGTCATTTTCTTTGAGACAAAAAGTATACATCTTTTCCTTCTTTAATCTATTTCTTTGAATATAAATCCAATTGAAAGTAAAAAGTAAAACTTCCTTTATTTCTTTTTTCTTTTTTCTTTTTTGCAGAAAAAGATGGATTTTACACTTAAAGTAGTTGGTGGTGACATTTCAGCTATTCCTGGTGTTGCTGATGCCCTTGAGGTGTGGAAAGATCAAAGATTTTGTATTTCTTTTTCACAAAAGGAAAACAATCCACATATTATATTTCTTATATACCCTTTTTCTTAAATTTTTTTTTTGTTTATTCAGAGTACAATACGTGATGCTGTTGAAGACTCAATCACCTGGCCAGTTCGAAAAGTTATTCCCATTTTGGCTGGAGATTACAGGTACACCCACAACCACAATCTTCAAACTCAAATGACATTTTTACCCCTACAGTATAAAACAAACACATTTGGAGAGAAGACTTGATCTAAATCTATGATGATGTCATGTCACTAACTTTAATATCTTTAAAATAAGCATACTGATTAGTTCAAGAGTTGACAACAAGTCACTTAGTGTGTAAATTACCATTTTACCCTTTTCCTTTTATCTGATCCATGATGTCTTAATCATTAGTGATCTTGAACTAAAGCCTGTGGGAACATTGGAGGTGAAGCTTGTTCAAGCTAATGGCTTAACAAATAAAGACATTATTGGGAAATCTGATCCTTTTGCTGAGTTATACATACGCCCTTTGCGTAATAGAACAAAAACCAGTAAAGTTATCGTAAGTTATCCTTCTAATTTTTTTTCTTTTTCATATATTCAATTAAACACATGATCTAAACTTGTTGATGTTACATTTATTTTATGTTTCAGAACAACGATTTGAATCCAATTTGGAATGAACATTTTGAGTTTGTAGTGGAAGATACTTCCACACAACATTTAACAGTGAAAATATTTGATGATGAAGGGCTTCAAGCAGCTGAGCTTCTTGGATGTTGTCATGTGAAATTAAGTGAACTTGTGCCTGGTAAAGTCAAGGATATATGGATAAAATTGGTAAAAGATTTGGATCTTCAAAGAGACAATAAAGACAGGGGAAAGGTGATTGATTATATGTTTATCTTTATAATATAAGGGCAAAATGGTCTAATCACAAAAATAACCAAAAATGACAAGGTATTATTATTATTAGTCTATTATATCACAAAATGACCACTTTTTAAACTTTTATTACAAAATTGTTCTTCTTTACTTTTGTTGTGGAAATTTTTGTTTTACTTCTTTTGCAAAAAATGACAGTAATAATACATATTTATACATAACAGATGTAGAAAACTTGTATTTATACAAAAAATGTGGTTTTTAAATGTAAAAAAAGTATTTCCTTTTTATATGGTTTCAAATGGAAATGGTCAAAACATTGAATGAAATTGGAAAAAATAATGTTCGATTTGGAATAAAAAAAATGAATGTCAAAATTGAAAAAAAAGCGTCTTTTGTGCCACTTTTTTCAATTTTGACATGTCTTCATACCACGTCACCAAAGACTGACACATCAGCATGCCATGTTAGTTGGCAACTGGGTTGACTGGTCAAGTTGTCAACATTGCAAAAATTTAGAAAATTTAGGACTAAATTGTAACAAAATCAAAGTTTTTTAAAACCAGAGCGGCTTTTTTTTTTTTTTTTTTTTTTGGAATTTACTTTAAAAAACAATTGTGAAATATTATGATGTTTTTTTTTCTGTGGGGACCACTGATAAAGAAATTTGCAAAATGGATATTTATTTTATGATAAAGTTGAAATGGAGGTTATTTTGTGATTTAACTTTATTATTTTTTGTTATTTGTGTTACTACACGTTTTTATAGTCATATTTAACACACTAATTATTTATAAAATCCAAAAAAAAAAAAAAACTTTTATAGGTGCACTTGGAGCTTTTGTATTGCCCATATGGAATGGAAAACGGGTTCACAAATCCATTTGCTTCTAATTACACAATGACATCTCTTGAAAAAGTTCTTAAAAGTGGTGATAATGAAAATGGCGATTTCGTAAATAAAAAAAGAACCGTAATTATAAGAGGAGTCCTTTCTGTCACTGTGATATCCGCCGAAGACTTGCCAGCTGTCGATTTGATGGGAAAGGCGGATCCTTTTGTCGTGCTCACTATGAAGAAAACCGGGATGAAAAACAGCACAAGGGTATTTTCGTCTTTTCAACATATGAATAATAAATACTATACTTGTCTCTTCTTGATCATATTTACATTATATTAATTTTATAGGTTGTGAATGAGAATTTAAACCCGGTTTGGAATCAGACTTTTGACTTTGTTGTTGAGGATGGGTTGCATGATATGCTTGTTGTTGAAGTATATGATCATGATACATTTGGCAAAGTAAGTTTTTTTTTTTTTTTTTTTTTTTTTTTTTTTTAATATTGATATGCCTCTTACTGGGTCTGGTAAGAAGCTGAGTGAATCAGATCTGACTGAATCAACAACTATCAAATAGCTGACAAGTCCATTAAGTAAAAAAAAGAAACACTGGTTTAAATTATTTATTTGTTTTTAAAAAAATGTAGGACTACATTGGAAGATGCATTTTGACACTAACAAGGGTAATATTGGAAGGAGAATACAAAGAGTGTTTTCAACTTGATGGGGCTAAATCAGGAAGATTACATTTGAACCTCAAGTGGATGGCTCAACCACTTTATCGTGATTCTTAGTTTTTGTGAGAAGTACATAAAGTCTTTGTGAAAAATTATGGTAAAAATTCAAAGATTGTTTTATGTAAATTCGGAAGTCTGTCGAATAAGGGCATTCACTTGTTTGGGTAGCACAATTTTGGTTTTTTGTATTCTCTTCCTTTGTATCTTATGCTTTTTTTTTTTTTTTTTTTTTTCATTTTATTTATAAAAAACCTTGAAGCTTCACTCACTAATGTAAGAATCTTTCCCTTTCTCCAATCTTTACTATTTCATCAACACTATAACTAATTCTAACTTTTCTTACGATATACAACAACTTATACTGGTATTGAGACTAATGTCAATTGGATCGCAAATGCAATTTTTCTGATGTCTGAACTTTATTATTAAATAATTAAGGGAACATGTGTAATATGAATAGATAAATTGAGGAATAATTTAGAATAATAATACTATGTGATAAATGGAGTATAAAAGAGTCTAAACAATGAGATTGTTAATGAACTTACGTTTGGAGAATGCTAACCACCATTTGTTTGGAGTCCCATTGGCTCTATATGCGACGTTTAACAATCTTTTATTTGTTTCCTCCCTTATTACCTTGAAATAATCTCGAATTACCTCTGCATTTCATAAAATTTTTATACACATCAAAATTGCTACACGTTCTCAAAAAATATCAATAATAATAATAATAATAATAAAAGGCAAATCTAGCAACTTTGGCTTAAAGTTTGCCAATATAGCCTAATGTTTTCTTATTCCTCAAAATAGCATCAGACTCTGAATGTCATGATTTGCTGTAAAATTGTTTTTTTTTCTATGGTCTCCACAAAAAGTAGAAAAAAACGACCATTAAATTTACTGTTTGTTGCAAACCTCAAAATAGCAACAGACTCTGAAAGTCACTATTTGCTGTAAAATTGTTTTTTTCTATGGTCTCCACAAAAAGTAGAAAAAACCAACTGTTAAATTCACCGTTTGTTGCAAAATTGTTTTTTTTTCTATGACCCTCAAAAAATATAGAAAAAAACGACTGTGAAATTCACTATTTGCTGCAAAATTGTTTTTTTATGGCCCTCACAAAAAATATAGAAAAAAACGACCGTGAAATTCACTATTTGCTGCAAAAAAAAATTATGGCCCTCACAAAAAATATAGAAAAAAACGACCATGAAATTCACTTTTTGCTGCAAAATTGTTTTTTTATGGTTCTAAAAAAATATAGAAAAAAACAACCGTGAAATTCACTATTTGCTGCAAAAAAAAAATTTATGGCCCTCACAAAAAATATAGAAAAAAACGACCGTGAAATTCACTATTTGCTGCAAAATTGTTTTTTCTATGGTTCTTACAAAAAATATAGGAAAAAACGTCCGTGAAATTCACTATTTGATCCAAAATTGCTTTTATTATGGTCCATACAAAAAAATAGAAAAAAAAAACTACTATGAAATTCACTATTTGCTGCAATTGTAAAATTGTTTTTTTTTTCCTATGGTCCCTACAAAAAATAGAAAAAAACGATCATGAAATTCACTATTTGCTGCAAAAAAAAAAAATTATGATCCTCACAAAAAATATAGAAAAAAAAACGACCGTGAAATTTATTATTTGCTGCAAAATTGCTTTTCTTATGGTCCACACAAAAAAATAGAAAAAAAAAACTACTGTGAAATTCACTATTTGCTGCAATTGTAAAATTGTTTTTTTTCCTATGGTCCCTACAAAAAATAGAAAAAAACGATCATGAAATTCACTATTTGCTGCAAAAAAAAAATTATGGTCCTCACAAAAAATATAGAAAAAAAAACGACCGTGAAATTTATTATTTGCTGCAAAATTTGCTTTTCTTATGGTCCACACAAAAAAATAGAAAAAAAAACTACCGTGAAATTCACTATTTGCTGTAATTGAAAAATTGTTTTTTTTCTATGCTCCCTACAAAAAAAAAAAAAGAAAAAACGATCGTGAAATTCACTATTTGCTGCAAAATTGTTATTTTGTAAGAACACCACGAAAACAAAACTTTATTACGAGCTCAAAATTGTTCAATTATTAAGAAAAGTCACATGTTTTTATACAAAAAACAAGTTTTTTTTTTTGTTTGAAATTTCTGTTGTAGGGATTTATAAAAACTAGTACCTGCTTCCTTTTTACTTCCTGGAAGAGGAAAAATTCCAGAAAAAGGAAAAGCAGGTTCTCCAGGAACATAAACATCTTCCAAACTCAAGTTCTTAATGGCTTTTGTCCCTTCAGTCAAAGTTCTGCAACCTTCCAGCCTCTTCAGTGCCACATTTATATAAAATGTTAAATACACAAGAATCCTATCAGCAGGAGTTTTCAAATCAAAGTGTTTGAAGAACACATTTGCTCTAAACAACTTTATTGCTTCATCCACAATATCTTCCCCTGCAAAATCAAATCCACTTTTATTATTTATTTTTTATTTTATTTTATTAAGGTGTTGTTTCTGTTTGTCTTAATGGACTAGTCATATGTGTAATGGTGTTTTTTTTTACTTAATATATAAAAATGGTCTTGATGATGATGCATTTATCCATTAAAGATTCTTTTTACGTGTACTACCCATCTTTTCCCTCTTTTTCTATGAAACCTGTGGCTAAAGTATTGTTTTAAAATAAGTAGGTGTTTGTATAGCTTTTGAAAACAGTTTATTAGTTTTTAGCTTTTTAAAAAGCTAATAAGCTAAAAAAATGTTTGGGTATTTAAAAAACGTTTTTTAAAACAACTTTTTGGATAGGAAAAAATAAAGCTTTTAAAAAACTGGAAAATCCTAGTTTTTTTTAGCTTTTTTACCATTTTACTCATAAAAAACAACTTTTCTTATTCAAACATTTTTTAAAATCTGTTTTTCCTAAAAGCCATAAGCTAATAAGCATTTTTTTTAAAAAAAATCACTTTTGTGAAAAAAAAAAAGCTAACCCAAACACACCCTAAATTAGATTAAATGCTAACTAAAAAAATTATACAATTGTTCTTCATATGGCTTCCAATCTCAAAAGTTAGATTATAATTACTTTGTGATTGACACATTTCAATAAGAAACATATGGGTCCTATTTTACTTACCTTACCCCTTATAATTCCCCCCCCCCCCCCCCCCCCCCCCCCCCCCCAATATACATAAATAAAACACTTGCCCCCTTTTAATAAGTATTTTTTTTTTCCAAAATCACATAAACATGATTTCTAGACAAGAAGGTAAATCAATCATTTATACATATCAGAGGGATTTGTTTGGTTAAAAAAAGAAACAACCTATGTGTATACATTAGCATCATTATTTATTCCGCTATTTTATCCATACACGATTTTAATAATAATAATCATAATAACAACCGTTAAGTATTGTCTATATAAATGACTATGTGTGAGACCAGTGTATTACACAAATTGATTAAAAAATATTAAATATTAAAATATAAATATTAAGTATTTTTTAAAACAAAATTTCAAAATAAGGAAGGAAAAAACATATTTATTGCAATTTACCATCATATTTATTACAATTAATACTTTTACATATATAAATATAAGTAATATGTGGTTTTTAATTTTAAAATTTGAAAAAAATCAGAAATTGAAATGTGAATATTATTTATTTAAAAATACCATAAAATGACAAGTGTCAAAACAAATGAGAGATTGACATGTGGCAAAATGAATTTTCATTTATTATAGTAGATTTTTAAAAATAGTTAAGAAAATGGCAATATAGTTGGGGAAAACGTCGTTTCCATGACTTTAGACCAACTCCAATGCTCTACTAATATACATCATTTTAGTATGTGTTTTCTCTTTATCATTCCAACCAACCTCTAAAATACATCATTTTATCTGTTAAGACGTTCTTTTTGCATTAAGTAAAAAGAAAACACTAACCAGACCTTGATCAGAGAGACGAGGAGCATGAGTATGAGCATGTCCATGTCCAGTTGTTTGGTTACTTGTTTGGTTCTTAAGAGGAAGTAGGGGACAACCACAAGCTTTGCTAACTCCCTTCAAATCCACAATTCTAGAGTGGTACACCTACAAAGAACAAATCACAGTTTTTTTTTTTTTTTTTTTTTTTTTTGCAAAATTTCAAAAAACGTGGTAGGAAACACTAGGTTTACTTTATATACATCTACATAGCTTATCCAAAATCATTTATTGTTATATGTTGTAGAGCATTTTCTCTATTAAAAGCCATGGTTAATCGTAAGTTCTGGGGTGTCTGGGATTACTTATTTGAAGTGCTTATTGATTTAGTGTGGGTTGACATTGGTAATAAGAATTTTTAAAGTGTTTGGATTCCAACTTCCAAGATTTCATAAGTACTTATTGAGTTAAATAAATATATTTTGATAAGTTATTTTTTCCTTGCTTATTGACTTATTTAAGAAGTTTTTGACAAGCCATTTTTTCATTACAAATAAACACCATTTGTCAAACAATACAAAAATCATTTTAAATAAGCAATCCCAAACACCAGAAAATAGACAAACACAATGGTTCTTAATCTCATGTCAATATTTCTTTTATATTTTCACATTCTGTATAAATCTTTTATTTTTGCTAACTATAATGTTATTTTCATATTTCCACAAAACAATGGTTAGTTTGTAACTAAAAGTCAAAATTCAAATAAGAATAACTAAAAAAGGTTATTACCATGTTTAATGTGGGATTGCTTCTTAGTTCTTGCCACAAGAATATTTCCCCCCCTTGATATTAAACTTCAATGAACACACACAAGTTCAGAAAACATCAACACTTTTAAAGTTAAACACAAGAAGATAATAATATATCATCATATTCATACACCTTATTTCGCACCCAATATTTTCACCCAAATGATTAATCAGAGAATCCAAATGAACATTATCTAAATGGACATTATCAATCGCATATCAATTATCAATTCAGTTTCTAATTTCCGTTTCAAAAAACAAATCAATATCCATGAAACCACAGGTGAAGAAATTGAAATCGAGCTGAAGAAAACAAATTGAGATGAGAAAAAAAAAATAAAAAAATACCTGCAATTGATTATTGTCGGATCAATCAAATCGGAGATTAATTTAATCGACGGAGGGATACTCTTCTTCTGATCCCGACGAAGATGCTGCGAAAAGTAATATGGAATTTATTTGAGTAAAAAATTAATTAATTTCGTCCCACCAAAATAGGATCACCAATTTCTAATTAAAATCGGAAAATATTTAAATTTTAAATTTAAATTACTGATTTTGAAGGGATCAAATTAAACACCAAAACAATAAACAACAAAAAGAATCCAACTTTAACTTCAATAAACAAAACCCACATTTAAATTTTTACAAACTACAAATCATTCATAACAATTTCTTCAAATTCTAAACCAACCCTAAATCCATACCCACAAAACTTAAACAATTTCCCACAAACAAAAAGCTTCATAAAACCTAAAAGAATGAATAGACAGATAATCTAACAACATCTATAAAAAAAAAAATTAAAAATTACATGTACAATACAATCTTGCTAAATTAAGTTTGAAAACGATGAAGTCAACACAAAAGAATCATACGAGGGGAGGGGCCCACGTTGACACGCAAGGTCATGAATGTCCCTAACAATGTCAAACACTGCCTCCGGTTGGGCCAACTTGAGGGCATTTTCGGAAATTTGCTTGCGTTCATCTGAGTTGTTGGTGAACCATCCCGCCACTATCCTAGCCGTCTCCTTTGGGCTTCTCGTGAACACACCCGCACCATTTCCCACCACATACGGAACATTCCCTTTTTCCTATTTAACCAAAATGGCAATGTACTTTCATTAGATTATTATTTTTTATTTTTTTATTATATTATTATGACATCATATTTTCATTTTACATTTTACGTACTTGTCCTGGAATATAGTCATTGAGGATGATGGGAAGCCCTCTGATTAACGCCTCGGCAATTGTGCCAGGTCCAGCCTACAAAAAAAGTAGTGTTATAAAATTGTGAAATGACAAAAATGCCCCTCTTTACGATTTACCAATTATAGTAATTTGAATATTTGATAATGAAGATAGGTGAAAAAGATCATATACCTTAGTTATAATGCAGTCACAAGCACCCATCCATTTTTGCATTTGTGTCTCAAATCCTCTAACCTATCCAATTACATTTTTATTTTTTATTTTTCAAATATAGGAAGATATAGAAATGAAAGTGCATTGCTATATAAAAATCAAAGGCAACTGAGTTTTTTTTTTTTTTTTTTTTTTTTTTTTTTTTACCTTAACAGGAATCTTCCACTCTAAAGATTCAAGTGAAGAAGCTAAAGCTTTGTTTCTACCACAAATTATGATCATTTGTCCTAAAGCTTTTCCATTTTCTTTATCAAATAAAGATTCTGCAAGAGCCTTTGCAGTTTTCTTCACGGGGCCCATTCCTTCACCACCTCCCATCAACAAAACTGCAGGAAGTACCGGATCCAGTTCTAGCTCTACCCGTAAATCATCCTGCAAAATTACCAAATTACCCCTATGAAATCTTAAATACCATGATAAGAAAAAAGTGACATAGCCAGCAATATGGGCATTTGCACACATAAAGATTGAAAACTATTTGTTGCACTTAATGTTAGTTTTGTAATTATGTAGTAAACACAAGGGTATTTCGGTCATTTTCCCCACCTTGTTGAGGACAGCGCGTGCAAACGAGGGTCGAACAGGCAATCCGAAGACACGTACTTGGTTTTGTTCTAAGCCATCTAACAAAGCCCTCTTTGCTACCTCTTCTGAAGGGCAATAACATCTTTTGACTCTAGGGTGAAACCTGATTACATAACAAGAATTTTAATTTAATATTCAAATATAGGTGAATTGAAAAGGGTATTTATGACATTTACCATGTGCGATGGCATGTGTTAAGATCGGTAATAACAGTCACAAATATGACTTTCTTTTCTAATCCTTGCCATTTAAGTACCCATAATGGAATGTGTTGCATCATAGGATGAACACTTATGATTATGTCTGGTTTGTACTCCATTAAACCAGCCTCAACTTCCCTTCAATTTACAATTTTGCCACATGAGAAAAGAATGTTAGAAAAACGATGAATTCCCACAACATTTTCCAAGATAATGAATCTTTTCACTGTGTCTCTTTTGCCACATGGAAGAATTTTAGAAAAACAAGCAATTCCCACAAATTTTCCAACATAATTAATATTCCATAATGCGATTTCCATAATGCGATTTATCGGGGTTTCTTTTAAACTTAATACAAAAAGAAGAATCAATTTAAAATTTGTACGCATGGGAAACTTTTACTAGAAAACCAATGAGTTCCCATAAACTTTCCAACATAATGAATCTTTTCAAGAAATGAATCGTCTTTCGTTTATTCAAAAATATAGAAAGAACTATTTAACAAACATTTATCCAGACAGTAATTTTATAAACTGTAAAAAAGAAAAGGGTAAAAATATATACTTGGCATAGAAGGCAGCAATTGCAGCAAGATAAACACCATGAATCCATCGAGGAGAAGTGCCATGAAATGCTACACTCCAAAGCTGGACATGTTTCACCATGAATTTATACTGATTTTCCATGTCGTTTAATGGCCACCCCGTGTATTCTTTCCAAACATCCTTCACAAATATCTATCAACAGATCGATTATTTTGGATGACTCGAACAAATAACCAGTAACCAAATTGAATGATTTATATAAACATATATGTATAGATGTAGATATGGAGTGGAAGAAAGTAATAATACCTTGTATTCATCACCAAATTCAATCTTGAAGGCGTCACGGATGGCTTCGGCGGAGGCACGGTGGCCACCGCCGGTGTCGCTCATTAAAATAAGCACATTTTTTGTTCTATTGGCACCAAGCTGGACCATTTCCATGGTGTCATCTTCATCGTGAATCTCATATCTTACTCTTTTCTGTCTGTTGCTACTCCCACCACCAAATCCATAAACTCCGACTCTCTCGAACACTGTCTTCAACGAGTTTTTAGGCGACGCCACCGTCATCACCATCCTCCACCACCACCGGTATACATACAACTATATATGTTTTTCAATGAAGAATCGAGAGACCTTCAAAAGCTTTTGAATTTCAAAACAAACCCAGCAAAAAAAACATGGAAAGATTGACTCTTTCTTTGATTAACGAATTGGGTGTCTTAAAATAAAGATAAATTTCAAGAGAGACGCAACAGAGACATGTTTGTATATTCTGTTTTATGGTAAATGTTTCAAGAAATCACAACCAACTCCAACCCACTTGCCGGAAACTTCAAAGGAACTTAACCCACCGGAAAATTTGTAACGGTGGTTGCCGGCGGTGAATTAGAAATTATTTGACAGAGACACAGAAGAAATCGGGTAATTTTTTCTTCTAAAATAGAGGAGAGAGAAAGGTTTTATGCTGGAATGATTCCAATCGACATTGTTGGAAGAATGGTGGCGAATGGTGGTAGATTTAAAGATCAGTTGTTGCCGATTGACAACCGTACGATTAGGGTTTTTAGTTTCGGAATGTTCGATAGTTTAGATTCGGATCTTTCTTAGTTTAATTTTTTTAATCTTCAATTTTATTTATTTATTTATTAAAAGGTTTAAAAAATGTTTTTCATTATGGAATCGAATCTTTTGAACAAATATGAATCATGATTGGTGATGCAAACTATGTTATCAATAATTTATTCTTCACAATATTGCTATCATCCCCTTCAATTCTTGGTTAATTACGATTTTTACCCAAAAATCATATTCTCTTCTATTCTTTTGATACCATACATCATCCTAAACAAGTCGAATTACTCGTGGTTTATTCGTAAAAACTCGACTTGAGCTCAAGTGAAACAAATTCGAGCTGACTCAGGCTTAGTTTCAGACTCATTTATTAAATGAGCTCGAGCCCGAGCTTCATCTGCCGAGCTCGATTAGGTTTACAAGCCTAAACGAGCCGATCACATTTATATAATATAACTTTTATTTTTAATTAAGTTACAAAATTAAAATTTTACGAGCTTAAAAACACAAACGGGCTTGATATTTGAATATCAACTGAGACGAACTCGAGCCGGGCTTAGGCTCATCTGACAAACGAGTCGAGCCCGAGCCAAGCTCGAACATTTTAAATTTTCCACAAGTCGAGCTTGAGCTTTGAAAACTAAGCTCGAAACGAACCCCATGAATTTTAAACTAGCCGAGTTTGAGCTTGAGTTCGACTTGTTTACACCCTTAACTCCTTAAGACATAATTCAAGCTTGATATTTTTAAAATATTTTTGCTTTACGTTACTTCTCTTTAAAATCCATTAAAGATAGCAACTGAAATACGTTTGTGTTGAAGGTTAATCACTTGAAATCTACTAACATGTTTTAAGCATTTTTTGTTATCTTTTTCCTATAAAAAGAGATTAAATAAAAATCGAACAAATCTTCATCCTTAAGAGAAACGTAATGTATACATTATACATATGGTGCCTATAATATTATATCATTTTAAATTTAGTATCTACATTAATATGCATAACACGTTTATCTTTAACGAGTTTTTCCCAAAACATAACGGTTAATATAATAAAATATAGTTCTTATACAAATCTTTCGGTACTTTTAACAATAGCTTTTTTTTTTATTAAATTTATGATAAATATTTTAGATTTAAAAAAGTATAAGTAGCATTTTACTACATCCCAAAACCTTGACTATTTTTATTTTTATTTTTTTGTTACTCATGTAAAAGAAATTTGTTATAAAGTTTGCATTATCAATTAATGTTTCTCAAATATCCTAACGACACAGCATACTGACTTTAGTTTCATTTATGATGCATAGTGCTATAGAAAAAGATTGGCATGTCCTTTTTGTCGACGTAAATGGAAAGCATAATTGGTACACACATTTTTATATCTTATTTTAATCCGATTAAATTCACATATCCAAATAACATGCCACCAAAAGTTCAGGCTGTGCTCTTGGCCTGGCTGCCTTATTTACTTCACACTCCTTAGCAATGGATCTAGCAGCTTGGAATATTAGTTGAAGATGAAGCTTGGAATATTAGTTGAAGATGATGATTTTCGTGTCATCAATATATTTAGTGTAGCTGAGACTTTTATTCGAGACAAATTAAGTTCTATTTGGTTATATTTTGAGATACGATGTGTGAGGTACACACTCAGATAACTACAAAAGAAAGACTGAACACGGTTCCAGGGGCAACGCCCCTGGTGGGGTTCCAAAAGGCATCGTCTCTGTTGGGTCTAGGGACAGCACCCCTAGAGGAATAGGCATGTCACCTCTGGTGGGGTCTAGGGCATCTTACCTAGTAGAATATTCAAATCGATTTTCTTAGATCAACCTAAATCGGATTTTGTGATACCTTAGACAACATATTTGAAATCATAGATTTTGAAAAAGAGAAATTAAATATCCTCTTATTTTTGTTCCTACAAATTTTTCTACCCAATTAAATGATGACATGTGACATATTACTAATACTAAAGTATCATTAAATTTCATTAAATGAACATTAAATATTACATATGTCACTATTGAATTTGGTAGGAGGATTTGTAGGAAGAAAAAGTAGGAGGATATTTTCCTTACACGATCCGTATCCTTGTGGTTATCTCTCTATGCTATTTAGCTGCAAGTTGTTGATTAATTAAGAAATAATCTCCTAAGTAGATTATTATTATTATTTTTTTTGAAACGGCAATTAATATAAATTTCTCCTCTGCCTGGGATAGAACTCAGGACCTCCTATCATACCATAGTTAAGTCGATCATTTTATCATAAATATAGGGGTTGGGTCTCTTGTATTGAATGAGCAATAAATAATTTCTTCCATAACATTGTAATCACCACAACAATATAATGAATTGGTTCTCAGACATCTCATGTCCGTGCTTTTTCCCCGTGTAGGTTTCCACGTAAGATCCTGGTGTTTCTTTTCTTTATTGTTATTTGTTTTCGTTACTTTATATTGCTATATCATAAACAATCTATACTCTGTTTGAATCATTATCATACTATTCTTTTGAGTGTGTTCTATTAGTATTTGACTTTAAAGTTGATAACTAGATCACTGCAGTTGTAGTCCAACAATATTTAAATGGTGCAGAGTTTATGCTATAGAAAGTTGATGTAATCTATAATTAAAGATGATAGGGTTCAAAACGAAGATTTAAGCTTTTATTCACACGAATTATAAAAAACTATGTACCGAATTAAACGTTTCAATATTTTGAGGGGCAGAATGACAAAATAATTTCCAGGTTGGGAGCCAACTGTCAGGTACTCTAAATGGTGACATGCCTACTTGCAATATACCCATTTGAGTTGGCTGTTTTTTTTTTCTTTTTAGTTTTAAAATTTTCTTTTGTCATGTATTTGGGTTGTGTTTTTTAAAATAAATTAGTTTTCTGTACTTCACTGTTTTTGTAAAATTATAAAAATAGTTTATTATAGTTTATAAACTATTTTATAAGCTAACTTTTAATAAATTACTTTAAAATAGTTTTTATAAGCTATTTTTTATCAAATCTTTTTAATTTATAAGCTAATTTTTCAGCTAGTCGATCAAACAAAAAATTTACAATATAAAATATAGAATGTTTATTATTGTTTCTATTTTCATTTTGTATTTGAATGCCTATAGATTTAGATATGATTAGTTTTAATCTTGAAATTACCTTGCAAAACGACAACGTTGCCCTTGGCCCCTTAAAGTAACAAGAGGTTTAAAAAACAGTTGAAGTCTCTTTCTCGCCAAAAGTTTTGAAGTTTGCTTGTCTAAATGTACACTCCATTTAGTAGACCTACTTAATTTATATTTAAAAATGAGAAAATTCGAGATATAACAAAAAAAAGAGGGTTGGTTTAAAGAAAATAACCAAGAGAAAACGGATTTCGGAAAATGACCAAAGGATCCGCAGAGCACCCTCTGCAGATCTCTCTACAGCTCTGCGGATCCCTCTACAGCTCTGCGGAATGTGGGTTTATTAATTTATTATTTTTTTTTCGTTTTTTCGTTTTTTTGCGTTCATTTTCGTTTATTAATATTATTTTTTTATTTTTTTTTAAATACATTAATACCTTATATGATTATTATGTAAAAAATTTGACAAAAAAAAGGTTAAAAATAATGAAATGTTTTATGTAATACGTTTGCTACCGGTGTATATAAATAACCTAATTAAAATTATACAAATATTCCATGTTTTTTATAGGTTACAAAACATACTTTAGAAAACATAAACATACAACCTTCATAATAAACCTACTTTGAAATAAACTTCATTCATTCAAATCGAACCACGGAAACTTTGATCTGTTTTCGTATTCCGTCCATGGGTTATTTGTTGCTTGTGTCCCTAGGTTTACTGTCGTTTGCGTCCATTGGTTATCTGGCTCTTGCTGCCATTGGTAATCGGTGCAACCCTGCCATTGGTTATGTGGGTCTTCCTGCGGTTGGTATTCGGTCCCTTGCGTCCATTGGTTATGTGGCTCCTGCTGCCATTGATGTTCGGTCTGTTGTGTCCATTGGTTGTCTGGTTGCTGCTGCCATTGTTGTTCGGTATGTTGCATCCATTGGTTCTCTGGCTGCTGCTACCATTGTTGTTCGGTATGTTGCATCCATTGGTTCTCTGGCTCATGCTGCCATTGTTGTTCGGTATGTTGTGTCCATTGGTTCTCTGGCTCATGCTGCCATTGGTTTTCGGTCGCTTGTGTCGGTTCCTCTTCTGTCGCTTTTGTCCCACTCCCTGACGCCCCAATACGTTTTTTGTTAGTAATAGTGTCTTCGTTTCCCTCTTAAGAATGGTTCCTGTAATGAAAAGATTAGCAGCAAACGATGTGGCTGAGGCTCGAGTTGGACTCGATTCCCTTAAACAGATTCGCCGTCTGTTCCCAGGGTACAACAACCTTAGCAGTATTGTGTACTGCCAGATATGACGACTTGCCTGAAAGAATCGCCGGAAGCAGGAGTACAGAGAAGGAGGAAGAAGAAGAGTATTTTCATCCGTGTCTTTGAATGAGACGGCCAAGGTCTTCTTTTATAGTTGAATCTTGAAACGGAAACAAATCACTAATTGATTGAGCGTTTAATGGCAATAAATGTCATTAATTACGCAATTAATGCATCCGTTACAGAATTCAAAAATAGGGACCAAAACTGTCAAGTTTAGCAAAAACGAGGGTAGCGCGCGCCCGAGTTTTCGGAGCTGCATTCGTGTCCGCAGGTCGCGCCCATGCACGAGTTCGGTGTTTTTGGTCTACGGAACCAAGATTTGCACCCCCCCTGCGCGCGGGTAGGAATTGTAGCATAACCATAGACACAAGCTTGTAAGCCTTCCATGCAATGAAGCTTATAAACCTTGTTAAGTTTGGTCTCTCTACCAATGTGGGACTCATTCCCACATTCCTCTCTTTTGCTAAACTTATTCTCAAATACCCATCTTTGAGTATCGATATCTCATTCACTTATACTCTATTTTGGACATATAATATATCGTTTCGAAGTCCTCATGGAGGAGAACACAAACCCACTTAGAGTTCGTTATATATACAACATATGTATATATTTATATATGTCCAAAGTTAGTAAAAATATAAATATTTATACTAAATTTCCAACATTTTTTACTTTTACTTTGGTCTTTGGAACGATTTCCTTACACGTCCTTGCATTATGAGTTGTGCTATGGCATCTAGTACACCTTCTTATTTTTGGTTCCTCACCTTGAGAGGGAATACGATTGGTGTTTTTTGGTCTACCGGCTTGACGTATTTCCATCACAGGACGGTTAACAACCATAAGGTCATCCGAAACCTCCCAATCACTAAGTTTTGAAAGAGGGTATACGGCCTGCTCGTACGTTCTTCGATATGTTTCAATTTTATAAGCATCTATAGCCATATGCCCACAGTGATCATTTTTCAAGTGCGTTAAAACCATTATCACATGACCACATGGCAAACCAGTTAGTTGCCAATATCTGCAAGAACAAGTCTTTTCCCTGAAATTCACTATGCCGCCACTTTTGAAGTCATGCACTTGATATGTTGTATTGTCAACACCAGATACACAAGTCAACCCATTACAAAGTCATACATGAAGAACTTTGTACCCCAACACACAGGAGGGTTAGCACCAGCAGCAGGAGTTCCAGTAGCAGCGGGAGTTCCAGACATTCTGAAAGAATCGTAACCACAGTTAAATAGATTACAGGAAAAAGTCGATACCAAATCGATTCAGAATAAAAGAAAAGGAAAAAACGAAATGGTTAGAACAAAGAATAATCTGTTTAAGACTGTTAGTTATAGTGTCTTCGTTTTCCTCTTAAGAATGGTTCCTGTAATGAAAAGATTAGCAGCAAACGATGTGGCTGAGGCTCGAGTTGGACTCGATTCCCTTAAACAGATTCGCCGTCTGTTCCCAGGGTACAACAACCTTAGCAGTATTGTGTACTGCCGGGTATGACGACTTGCCTGAAAGAATCGCCGGAAGCAGGAGTATAGAGAAGGAGGAAGAAGAAGAGTATTTTCATCCGTGTCTTTGAATGAGACGACCAAGGTATTCTTTTATAGTTGAATCTTGAAACGGAAACAAATCACTAATTGATTGAGCGTTTAATGGCAATAAATGTCATTAATTACGCAATTAATGCATCCGTTACAGAATTCAAAAATAGGGACCAAAACTGTCAAGTTTAGCAAAAACGAGGGTAGCTCGCGCCCGAGTTTTCGGAGCTGCATTCGTGTCCGCAGGTCGCGCCCATGCACGAGTTCGGTGTTTTTGGTCTACGGAACCAAGATTTGCACCCCCCCTGCGCGCGGGTAGGAATTGTAGCATAACCATAGACACAAGCTTGTAAGCCTTCCATGCAATGAAGCTTATAAACCTTGTTGAGTTTGGTCTCTCTACCAATGTGGGACTCATTCCCACATTCCTCTCTTTTGCTAAACTTATTCTCAAATACCCATCTTTGAGTATCGATATCTCATTCACTTATACTCAATTTTGGACATATAATATATCGTTTCGAAGTCCTCATGGAGGAGAACACAAACCCACTTAGAGTTCGTTATATATACAACATATGTATATATTTATATATGTCCAAAGTTAGTAAAAATATAAATATTTATACTAAATTTCCAACAATCCCCCACATGAATGGAGATCGATCTCTGCACATCCAATTTCCAAACGAAATTTTCAACAGTTGAATCCTGCATAGGATAGGTAGGTATTACCCTTTGAACCCTCCCTTAAGAAGTTACACTTAATCTCCTAGCAGTTAGTAGATCTCGATGTCTTTGAACTAAGCTGCCATTTATGTAGACGACAATGTAAATCTCACAGGATTCTCCCTGACAAGGTCATATCCTCATAGACGTGTTCGTTTTGGTCATAAACACTAGCCTGGTTCTGCAAGAGCTTTAGGAATTGTGCCCCTATAATTCCCCTCGAAGCGACCCCACTTCTCTCTCACATAGGTGATTCCAAGAATCATTAAAAACCATATGTTTAGCCTAATTTTATCACTACATATAGAAATGGACTAGGAAGTCATGTTAACTCCCCGCAGTGACATGCCTCACTCATACAGTTAGGTTATCCTTTTGAACCCAGATCTTGGGATCTCCAGTCTTCTGGGTAAGGTTTCCTTCGTATGAATTTATTCATTCATGGGCTTTAGTCCCATTCCTCTTGACGACTTATAAACTACATCTCTACTTAAGCCTTTTGTAAGCGGATCTGCAATGTTATCCTTTGACTTCACCCAGTCAACCGTGATAACCCCCGTAGAGATTAGTTGTCGTATCGTTTTATGTCTACGTCTAATGTGCCTTGATTTCCCATTATACATTGTACTTTGAGCTCTACCAATTGCCGATTGGTTATCACAATGTATACATATGGCCGTTACCGGCTTAGGCCATTCGGGAATGTCCTCTACGAATTGACGTAGCCACTCCGCCTCTTCAGCACAAATATCTAAGGCGATAAATTCAGATTCCATCGTGGATCTAGATATAACTGTTTGCTTGGATGATTTCCATGCTACAGCAGCACCTCCAAGTGTAAACACATATCCACTTGTAGATCTGGAATATTTTATGTCAGATATCCAATTTGCATCTGTGTATCCTTCGATAACTGTTGGATGTCTGCCATAATGCAGTCCATATTCTCGCGTGTATCTCACATACCTCAGCAAGCTAGTAATACTCTTCCAGTGTTCAGAACTGGGTTTACTAGTGTATCTACTTAGTCTGCTCACAGCATATGCTAAGTCAGGTCTGGTACAACTCATTAGATACATCAGACTGCCAATAATTCTTGAATATTCCACTTGATTAACACTATCACCTCTATTTTTACGTAGATGTTGACTAGTGTCAATTGGAGTTCTAGCTATGCTAGTGTCTCCCTTAGCAAATTTTTCAAGAATTTTATCCACATAGTGTGTTTGACTTAAAATCAAACCACTTTGGGTTCTTGTGATCTTCACTCCAAGAATCACATCTGCTAAAGCCATATCTTTCATGTCGAACCTGGATTTTAACATATCCTTCGTGGATCTTATTATCTTGTCATCACTACCAATGATAAGCATATCATCGACATACAAACACAAGATGACATAACCATGAGTGGTGTTTTTCACATAGATACACTTATCACACTCATTGATTCTAAAGCCACTTTCCATCATGACTTGATCAAACTTTTGATGCCATTGTTTAGGAGCTTGTTTTAATCCATATAGAGACTTAACAAGTTTACAAACCTTGTTCTCTTGTCCCGAGGCAATGAAGCCCTCAGGTTGCTCCATATAAATTTCTTCTTCCAACTCCCCATTTAGGAAAGCCGTTTTTACATCCATTTGATGAACTTGCAAGTTTCTGATAGCTGCAATGGCAAGAACTAATCTAATGGATGTTATCCGCGTTACCGGCGAATAGGTATCAAAGTAGTCTAGACCTTCCTTTTGTCTATAACCTTTGATTACTAGTCTTGCCTTGTATTTATCAATACTGCCATCAGGTTTCATCTTTCTCTTAAAAATCCAAGGTAACCTAGTGGCTTGCTACCTGGAGGTAGATCCACTAGTTCCCATGTGTGATTTTGTAAGATAGATTCTACCTCATTTTTGATGGCTTCTTTCCATTGAGGTCCCTCAGAAGAAGTTACCGCCTCTTGGTAGGTTTTAGGTTCACTTTCCACCACATAGGTGAAGAAATCATCACCAAATGATTTTTCAACTCTAGCCCTCTTACTTCTTCTGGGTTCTATCTCTTCCTCCTCGGATTGAGCTTGTTCTTCCTCTCGAACAGCTTCGTTGTTTGGTAAAGATGGGCTTTCAACTTCCTTGTTCAAACAGGGAAACACATCTTCAAAGAATGAAGCATTCCTTGATTCCATTATGGTATTCTTGTGTATTTCAGGATTCTTAGAATCATGCACAAGAAACCGATAAGCACTACTACTTTGTGCATACCCAATGAATACACAATCCACTGTTTTAGGCCCTAACTTTTGTACCTTAGGTGGTGGCACTACAACTTTAGCTAGGCACCCCCACACTCGTAAGTACTTATACGATGGCTTTCTTCCCATCCAAAGTTCATACGGTGTTTCATTCTTTTCTTTGCGAGGTATCTTATTTAAAAGATAGTTAGCCGACAAAATAGCTTCCCCCACATTGACTAGTTTACACCCGAACTAATTATCATGGCATTGACCATTTCTTTCAAGGTACGGTTCTTTCTTTCAGCAATC